AGAAGAAATCAAAAAAGGAGAAGAAAAGATCTCCAGGGACAAGAAGGGTTTTGTAGGGTAGCTTACCAGTTCTTTACAACCTTGTCAGTCCCAAAATTGAAGAGTGTGAACTCTGATGGCAAGGCAATGAAGCTCACCAGAGCAATCCCAGCAGTCATTAGAACAGTTGAGATAAGGAGCTGTCTTTTCAGGGATGGTTCAATTGCTTTCACATCTTTGATCTCGAATAAATCAGTTGCAAAAAGCGTAGTTATGATACAAACCAAGATACCCACTGAGCTAATAATCAAAGGATAAGACATAGCTGTAAAGTCATGGCTAACACCAAAAGATGATATTGATGCAACAAAAAGTGCTGCACAGGATGATTCAGCATAGGACCCAAAAAGATCAGAACCCATCCCAGCAATGTCTCCTACATTGTCACCCACATTGTCAGCAATAACCTGCAAATTAACCACAAATTTACACTAAGCCTCATGCAATTAGGGTTATAAGCTACAAGTGACATACAAGACCCAGAGAACAAATCCAAGATTGCATAAGAATAAAATTCAGATAACACCAAAGTAACTATCTAAAAACAGTGGTAAGGGACTAGAAGAAATTACAGCTGGATTCCGAGGATCGTCTTCAGGGATATTTCTTTCTACTTTCCCAACAAGGTCAGCTCCAACATCGGCTGCCTTTGTATATATACCTCCTCCAACTCTTCCAAAGAGGGCCATTGAAGAACCTCCAAGACCATAACCAGTAATAGACTCATAAAGCCCCTCCCAGTCATCTCCATAATAGAGTTTAAATAAATTGATGGAGACATACAGCACCAAAAGACCATTAGCAGCAAGGAGAAAACCCATCACAGCACCCGAGCGAAAAGCTGTGATAAACGCCTTCCCAACTCCCTTCCTTGCCTCCAGAGTTGTTCTGGCATTGGCATAGGTTGCAATTTTCATTCCCAGAAAGCCTGAGAGGGTAGAAGTAAGAGCACCAAGCAAGAAAGCAATTGTGCTGAACAGGGCATTGGCCAGAGCTGGTTTACACATTTTTCCCTTGTTGTATGTGCATGGTTCACTCTTGGTGCTGAAGCCCTTAACCGAACCAAGGAAGAGAAAGATGATGACACCAAATATACCCATGAAGATAGTCAAGTACTTGTACTCAGTAAACAAGAAAGAGGTTGCTCCTGGGACCATGATGCAGATCAAAAGAAGATTAGATCAATATTAGCAAATATAGCTAATTACGGCAACCATTCAGGAGGCAGCAATACCTTCACAATTGAGAATTAACTACTAATCCTTATTACAATACTTGAAAAATAATTTAAAAAAAATAAAAGTTTCTTATATGAATCAAAATAGGAAGTGAAGTGGCCAGAGAACAAACTGCTTTAGCAGACAGACAGGAAATTCAAAGTTGTACTGATAAGACATGTGAGATCTCAGGATGTTGCTGTACAAGTTGAAAGAAATAGAAACATAAAAAAGCGACAAACAAAAACAGGCACATAATTGGAAACTCAGCAGATTAGAGGTGAAAGGAGAATTAATAAATTTCTTGTAAATGAAATAATAATTAAAATCTTTTGCAAAACCAAATTATATATGTAAATAAGAAAAACACAAACTACATATAATAGCCTGTTTATAAAATATAAAGAAGAAAACCCACACTTCTCATTTGTAAATTAAGACAAGAAAAGCTAAAAAAAAATTATCATACAGACCCAGTTGCCAGAATCAGATCAGAAGCTCAAAAACTCAATAACACAATCACTGTGAGACAGGGATCTCAATGCAAAGAACATGCTTGTGGAAATTAGACAGAGAAAAAGAAAAGAAACGAAAAGAAAAAAGAAAGAGAGCTGACCAACAGAAATTGCAGTTTGGATTTCAGCACACTTGATGGAAACCTCAAGACTATCATTTCCTTCTTCTTCATCTTCAATCAGCCTGTCACTGAAACCATTGTTGACACTATTGGAATCAACAGAGACCTTAACTCTTGACACCAAAAACCACTGAAGCAAAGCAAACCCAATACCCAACAATGCGGCAGCAGGTATCAGGATCTGCGTGAGTGCTTCACTCAACAAAGCCATTTCTTTTCCCTTTCTCTCAACACCACAAAATTCTAATTGGGTTTTCTGGGTTTGGTTTTTGGTTTTACCAAAATACAGTAGGGAAGAAAACCAGGTAGAAGGTATTGTAAGCACTGGTGCTTGTGACACTGCACAGCATGAGAGTTTATGATCAAAAAGACAAAAAGCTCATCTTGGAGAGTGTTCTTGCTTTTTCTGCATGTCGCTTGGATCAAGGTAAAACTGATTGGTTAGATTGACAGGTGGTGCAAAGCCTGTTTTCTTGCTTTAAAAACAACGGTTTTTAGCTTTTATCAGTTGGTTTGATCAGCAGGTTTTGAGAAAATGGAGGGTTTTCTGTGTCACCGTGCTTTAACCAATGTGCTATCTATTCTCTCAAAACAAGTTCATGGTATTGCTGTTTTGGTTTGTTGTCACTTTATGAATAAAGGTGGCTCTCAAGTCAATTATCATTCAACTAAGAATGGTACAGAGACGTTTCCACATTTAACTCTCCCCATCATCAGCAAAAAATATAAAAGCCAAATTTACTACAGCAATCAATAGAAATTATATGTTTTAATTAATTAGTAAAATAGTAAAACAAGTTGTGGGTTTTTACTTTTCCTTTTTCTGTGAATTCCCAAGTCTAATATAAATACATATTTTTGAGTGAATCAGGAAAATAACTTAGTTTTACTGTGCACAAGCTAAGCTAAAAAAACTAAGAAAACTAGTTAATTAACAATGAAAAAATTCCATCTCATTTATCGACTGTTCATTGTTGCTTTATTAATTACATTCACTGTCATCATAATCTTATTTGTCTTTTATTGATTATGAGAATTCTTCTATTTCCAGTACCAAGTACATAATACATAATAACATAAATCTTTAAGGAATTATTGTAATTTTTTTCTCCTGAAAACATGGCTGGTTGTAGTTTTCCTTTTAAAAGAATATTCTAGTTTATACACCATATATGCAATTGACAATTAAATGGGAACACATGCAAGTGCATATTAAAGTTAATTAAATTCCAATAATTTTCTTGTAGAAGCATCATCTCTCTTTAATTTATCACCCGGTCAATGATTATGATTCAAGCAATCTCACATGAAATGTAAATGATTCTATTAGTAAAGAAACCAAAATACTAATATCAAAATGAAAAATATAATTTATTTGCCATCTTTTATTTTCTTAACCTGAAAGTCTTATGCACCTTTTATTTTTGTTTCTTCTTTTTTCTCCCAAATCTTCTAAAAAGTGAATTCATGAGCCAAGAAAACTTGTAATTTCCCACCAATTTCCTGGCTTGTTAAACCAAAAAACTAAAAGAGTAATTCCAATGGAAGTTGGTGTGAATATGAAAATATTGCATGAGGGATTAGAATAAGGGGGTTTATTGTATGGAGGTATTTATAAATTATCTTTGGATATTTCTTTAACAAGTATCTTATAAGATAAGAAATTGAATATGACTTCTATTTATTTATGTTTTAAAGTACAGACCCATTATACCCAAAACCAGAAACTCAAAGTCTTTGTTGATTTTTCTTCTAGGGTGGTTGTTTTTTTTTTAAATAGTAAAATATAATGGCTGTAACGCCAAGCATGTTCTTTTTAATATTATAAGTAAAAACTACAGCCTTAATTAATTAATTTCACTAAAATTGATTATCATCATGGTTGCTTTTCAAAGTAAAGTACAAAGTCCACAAACAATCACAAATAATTAAGAAACGTCACCCAAAGATAAACCTACCACGCCATTAATCTTTTGGTTTTACACGCCAAACCAACTTATGTTAATTGACGAGTATATAATTTTCCCCGTTTGATTTATCTTTATCACACAATCTTTCTTATTCTTTTGCTTGATTGAAAACCCAATTATCTTCTAAATGAAAGAAGGCTAATCACCACAAAACCAAAGGATCTTGGCTAAAAACAGAGTAAAATCTGAATGAAATAAACCTACCCCAGAACTCTCAGCACAGGTTAAGCATTACTAGTAACCAGCACGTATCTTTCTACCCCTAACATTTGTCAGCATAGCAGGAAATATCAACAGGCTCTATCTTTCTACCGATTTAACAAAGCCAGCCGCAGAAAACAAAACAAGCAGCTAATAGCTTTCCACTTACCAGAAACCAGTCTTTACATTGTCCAAATAGTACAGCATCCAGATACAAGAGTTAAATAATATTGGTTAACAACACTTGTCCAATGTAGTGTTGTCTTGTGGCCCCAATTTCCCGTCCCCTGTTTTTTTTTTCCAGTTACCATACTGTCTTGAAGAGAGTTTTTGGCCGCATTGGATTGTTTTGGAGCATTGTCATTGTAAAATATGGCTCATTGTTTCTTACCTATTCCCAAGCATAAGCCTTTCTGACTTTTTCCCATCCTGGTCCAGCAACAGAGCCAGATACCTCGATTTGCTCTCTGTTCAATGTGTATATGAAGAAAATCTATGGTAACTTGAACAATGTTCAAGTTATTCGTCATTGCTTTTACCATTAAAACTTATTATTTAGGAAATTACTGATCAAAAAGTGGTGCAAGTTACAATGACGTTGGTAATGTAAAATTCACCATAAAATGATATATGAAGATTTGTGTTTTGTCCTCTATTGAAGATGCTAAGCTAATTTCGATAAAAAAAAAAAATTCAAACTGTTTAGACACACCTTATGAAGAAAAGACACAGACTTTGATCAAAAAATAAATCCTAGAGCAATTTATTTTTAGGATTTTCGGTGAGAAACTAATAACTCTTTCAACCAACATGCTTGGCCCAATTATCTGTTAAAAAGGAAAAATATTACTTTTAGATAACATTTTAGTTAAACGAGCAACTAAATTTTTCTTTTTTGATCATCTTACTAATGTTTTAACTTAAGGAGCCTAAAAACCAAGTGAATTGTTCAAACATTTTTTCACCTTGAAGCACTATGATCTTATAAGGTGTATTCAAACTAAAAGCCTCATAGGCTTAAAAGCACAACAAATAATTAAGCCAATCCAAACACCCCCACTATAAGATAATGTAAGGATTTTAAACAATTGATTCATGTCATGTGATATTAGTACAATACAATAAAAACAGCAAAAGCCATACCCTTTTCATAGTCACAATCGCTCACCGGCCGAGTCTGTTTTACCAAATGAAGGCTTCTCCATCTTTGTTTCTGTTTTCTAGTGCCTTTTTTCCCTCTCTTTCTTCACATCATATTCACATCAAATGGATCATCCAGGATGCGGTCAGGCTGTCTGTCTGCTATCTATGATAGCCAGACATGTAAACCTCCATTAATATTGTTAGTAAAAATCTAATGGTTAAAGCAATTATTTACTGAAGATAGACAACAGTTTAACCAAGACAAAGGCTCAACATTTATTTCCTTTTTTTATGAAGATAAAAATACATAAAATTGAAGTGTGAGGGTGGGGGGAATTTGAGCTAAAAATGCCCCAGCATTTTACAGCCATAACATTCAACTTAAGCTCTTCTTTTTGCCGCATTATCTATACCTTCAGAATTGCTTCAGAAATGTAGATATGAAATCTTCCTACTATTATTCTCTCAATACCAATTGATGGGGCCATGTTGAATTTAGCATCCCTTCGAAAAGCTGAAGATAGATGAAGATGGGGTTAGAGATGGCTGAAATAGCAGAAGGCCATTTTACTTGAACCTCAGTCACCTTCCCTTCTGCGACAGAGATTCTGTTGGAATAAGCATTAATGCAAGTATGCTGAACTGTTTCAGCCGCTGCAGACGGCGAAGTTTAGGCCAGTGCAGAGAAGAGTTAGCAGCCCATATAGTTTCTGTTTAGCAATACTTTCATCAAAAGAGGTACATTGACCCCAGAAAAAGGAAAATAATCACTACCACACTTAGCTAGCACGCCTGGCTCGCCCAAACAGGCAGAGGGACTTGAATGACGATTGGGAGACCAGTAACAGGATGAGCAAACGACAAGCTCTCCGCATGAAGTTCATGACCATCAAATATTTTCCCCTTCCACTCATACACACCTTCATATTTTACATCTCCTCTAATAGGAATTCCAAGATACTGACAATGCAAACGGATTTGATGTGTTCTTCCACTCCGAGGAAAAGCTCTAACCAAAATCTCATCCTTCCTCGGATCAACATCTCTTGTAGCTTCTTCTTCAACTACTATAATATTTTCCTCATCTTTATTAAATTCAGATGGCTCCTTGAATCTCCCTTGTCCATTTACAGATAGTACTTCAAATGAAGTTTCCATGTCTCTAACCATGGATCCGCCTGGCAATGTCCGACCTACATCAGATTGGGCATATACACGCCATGCTCCAAACTTTGATCTACCATGACCTGATTTGATGGTGATCCTGCTCCATTTTGGAGCTGAACCAATGCACATAGCAATATATGATTTCCGGACCTCGTGATCAGAAAATGCCTTGACAAGTTTAGAAGCTACTTTGTGGGACTTGGTGATGAGCATGACACCACTGGTGTCGCGATCAAGTCGATTGGCAAGATGGAGCTCACGCTTGCTTATCTGGATCCCTGAAACTGGATCATACAGTGAAATTTTAGCACCTCAGAAAATAGTGCACCATTTAAGGCATTAGATACAAAGCATTTCAGTTCAATGTACTAGTCTGATCTAAGAATGCTAGCGTGAATCTAGTAAGGAAAAACCTGAAAGACTAGAAACTCTACTTATATATCACGAGCTTTCAGTTCTATATGCTAGGCAGATATAAGCATCCTACCCACAGTCATGTTAGTACAGAACAATTTTGGAAGACCAGAAACTTAGCTCCTCTTAATCATTTGCAGCTTAGTGTCTTTTTTTTCTCTGCATGCTGAAAACTAATAGGTTTCGTTCTATTCGTTTTTCTGCTATGTTTCAAGAAAGCAAATAATTAATTAATTTCTTTTTCTTCAAAAAGAAGGGGGCAAATAGTTCTATTCTATACCTAGTATTAGGCTCAGCTTAAACAGTTCAATACTTCAATTACCAGCCAAGCACATATATATAGCAAATGGCCGATCTTGAAAATTCAAAATATACCCACCAAATTAAAAGCGACATAAACATACAGAGACGAACCTTCACTAACTCGACCCAACTCAGCCGAGTCATCGAGAACGCCAGGAATGGCAGACAACACAGTCTCACAGTAGATTCCCTGAGGCTTGTTGACAGCAACGAGCCACTCGTCTTCGTACAACACATTGCATCGGGATAAAGTGAAGAGGCTTGATTTCGAAGTTGCAGTCAAGGCTCTTCTCAACTCAATGTCCCTTGAGATGAAGGGCAGAGGAGGGGAAACGGGTATTGGGTAATTTGGGGCAGGTATGGGGGCATTTTGGGAAGAAGATTTGCTTATGGGTTCAGATCGACTTGACATGGCGGTGGTGTACGAATAGAGGATTAAGGTTTTGGACTGATTGGTGATGTGTTTTAGGGAGAGGACGAAGAAGAAGAAGCGGGGACGGAGGTAAGGCGCAGAGAGTGGCATTGGCATTGAAAGTAACTTGTTTTTACTCTTTTTAAGTAACAACGTAAAAATATGAATATCGGGCCTCGCAATGTACTAAAACGGTGTCGTATGAAGAGCAATCATCTCCCTTTTCCTTCACCCTAGAGTTTCATAAACCCTTCAGGTCACGAACTCTTGAGCTCCCACGCATAAACCCTTGTATTCCATTGCCCCAAGACCGGTTGTCGAAGAAAAATGTCATCTTTTAAGATCAAACTATCACGTTGTTGTTCTTCAATTTTCTGTCAAATCTCTAGAAACAAAGCCAGGACTCTCTGCTCTTCGCAAATCCGCAGTCTACATGATTCAAAACAAGACCAAATTGATCTGGATTCTGGAATTTCTTCCTTTCTGCTCAAAACTATAAAAAACCCATCTGTGTCTTCTAGGGTCCTCTCCGGTTCAAGCTTCTTTGGATCACAAAATCACCACTTCTTGCCTGTGAAACCAAAATCCACTGCTATGTTTTCTGGGTGTGGTGTTTCGAGGAGGATTGTTCCTCTTTTTTGTCCAAGTTCACTTTTTGGTGTGGAAAGTTCGTGTAGGTCTGATGAAGGTCTAGATTTTACCAGAGGGATTCGTTTCTTCAGTACGCATGCTGCCATTGAACCTTCGACGTCTGATGGTCTTACAGTTGATCGAATTGTGGCTAATCAGTGGACAATTCTCGATGAGAGTGAGAGTGATTGGAAGAGCCATGCTGCTGCAATTGCTCAATCCATTCAAGTAATCAAGAGACGTTTGCAGGTAAATTTGATACTATTTCGGTTCCGGTCATTTGGAAGTTTGAAACTTAACATTTTATCTGGTTATTTACGATGAAGCTTTGACTTTGCTTTGTGTATTTATCTGGTTAGTGTTCTTTTGAGCCATTGTTTTGTGGTTTTGTGTTGGAGATCAAACATTAACTTACTTTTCCTCTTTTAAATGGTACTTAGCTTGAATATTAAGTCGATGATTATCTCCCGGTTGATAAACTTGATATGTAGGATAGAGGATTTGGTTGTGCATTTCAACGTTTATGGTTGGAAAGGTTCTTTTTTCCTTTGAGATAATTATGGTTGGAAAGGTTCTAGTCAATTGATGGATAATATGAACATTACTCTTGGTGACACTGACAGCTGAGAGGTTTTAGTCAAGTTTTTTTGGCATGCTCAACTTAAATGTAAAATAAAATTTTGTTTGTTTGTGCTGGCAGTGGAAGAAACTGACAGTTAGGTTAAATCTACTGTCTTTGGAACTGAACAAGCCTGATCTTTGGGATGAGCCTGTACATGCTGGGAAAATCAACCGGGAGCATGGTTCACTTATGGGTAAAATGGGCGAGGTGAAGGCATTTGAGCGGGAACTACTTGAGCATATTGACATGATAAAGCTCGCCCGAGAAGAGAATGACACTGAGTTGGAAGCGGTGGGCTCTCACTTCTTATTTTAGGCATGTACTCATTCTCCTTTGTCATTAGTTTCTTGCATTTCATACATTTTAGCAAACATGACATATTACACAATAGTGAAATAGTTTTAACGTTTCTACTAGCTTTGGGTTACCTCAGCTGTAATTGTGAAAGCAGAAAAGTTCCTTTTACCATAAGAGTGATTTGATGAGGTACCTTAAGGCTTGACCTCATACTGACCACTATCTCTCAGATAATTAGTTGGCTAACTTCTCTCTTGCAATTTAATAGACATTGGTGGCTGTGTTTTTTTTTTATTTATCTCGATTGTTTGATCATCTACAGGAATCAGTGAAAGCTTTGCTGAGAATGAGAAAGCATTCAAAAGAGAAAGAACTTGAAGCATTACTCTCGGGCGAGCAGGATCCTTGCTCTTGTTATATAGAGGTTGTTTTTCTTTGGCACAAAATCATATCCTTACTGTCTTTTTGGTTTTCTAGCTTCTGAGTTTGCTACAGTTGTAGCTTCTCTTTCCTCAATAATTTTTGCAAAGGATAATAAACCCTTGCTGTTGAGGTATTTTGACTGTCCGCATCTTACTGTTTTGTTGTATGCTATAGGTCCAAGCTGGAGCTGGGGGTACTGAGAGCATGGACTGGGCAGCAATGGTTATGCAAATGTATAAAATGTGGGCTCGGCAGAGAGGATACGGAGTAACTGTAGTAGATGAAATGCCCGGGGATATTGCAGGAATCAAGGTTCACCTTTATGCTATCCTTCATTCATTGTTTTCTTGGACATTATACATGGCTCTAAATTGACTCCAAGGAATAATGAAACGCGTTTGCATCCCCAGCCAACCAGCATGCCCCTTTAAGAGATGAAAAATCTTTTTGTTTTGCTTCCTTGTGTTAAATTCTGGTCAAGCTGTCAAAGATGAAGCTGCGTGCTTTTTCATTTTCCCTAATAAGCATAAAGTTTCCCCCTTCTCTTAAGAAACTGTTCGGGAGAACCAATGCTTATCTGACACCAAATTTCTTTTATTTCAGCGGGCAACAATTAAAGTAGATGGGGAATATGCATTTGGATATGCCAAAGCAGAAGTGGGAGTGCATAGGCTTGTTCGAATCTCACCATTTGATAGTGGAAAGCGAAGGCATACTTCATTTGCTGCCGTGGCTGTAATTCCCATCTTGGGTGATGGAAGCACCCATATGCAGATCAACGAGTCAGATCTCCGTATTGAGCGATTTCGAGCTGGGGGCGCTGGTGGCCAGCACGTGAACACAACTGAGAGCGCTGTCCGAATAGTTCACATCCCAACTGGAATAACTGCAACTTGTCAGAATGAAAGGTATGAACAAGCTCCCTAATATCAAAATACTTGTTGCCTTTGCTTATTCTTGTGACATATTCTTGGATGATTTTCTTTATGAATTAATTGGCTTTTCACCCATTCTGAATTCATCACCCTGGTAAGCATAGGTCACAGCATCAAAACAAGGCTTCAGCTATGGCTGTCCTCCAATCTCGGCTAGACCAGCTTGAGATGGCACGCCAGGCTCAGATGAATGCTCAGCATACACAATCTCTTACTGAGATCAGTTGGGGAAACCAAATACGCACTTACGTCCTCCACGTATGATTCTGCATCATACCAGACTCTTAACTTCTTTACTGTAGGGCAATCTAAATTTTGCTTTAACTGCAATTTAACATTTTTCTGTGCAGCCTTACCGCATGGTTAAGGATCTCCGAACTAATTATGAGGTCTCCGATCCTGATTCTGTGCTTGAGGGAGATCTAGATGGCTTCATCTTGAGCTATTTATCAGCTTCCTTGGACAAGAATGAAGATAACCGCTGATATTTAGTTAGTAGGATGGTAAAATTCTCAAGGGTTAACAATTCAATACTGAAGCTTCCGATGCAGCCAGATACTGTTTTCATATAGCTTGTGATCTGGGTGGATATAAGTAGATTGACTCCTGGTCTAATATTACAGGCTGCAAAACCATTGCAAGCTTTGGATCTTGAGGGCACATATATCAGATTTGTATATTTATTTTTGGAAAACATTTTCACCAAACAATCATGTCAATTAGCCATTTGATATCTGAGTTTCTTTTTGTCTATTTTATTTAGATTTTAATTCGTTGAAAATTCTAAGCAGACAGAATGTTGCAGATATTAACAAACAAAAAAAAGAACTCTTCATAATTAGAGATAGCATGACAAATACTTAAAAAACTAGAATAATACTTTACCTTAAAGACCATAGATAAATTTTAATGGCTTATTGAATATATACACATGATTTTTTTCTAAAAATTTAATATGGGATATATAAACATATTTAGTTTTTTGAAAGAATAATAAAACCAACCCATTCTCAGAGGAGGGGGGGAAGCCGTATTCCCTGTTCTACCTTTCGCCCAAACAAAATTGAAAAGATGAACTTGAAACGGCGTCGTACTGAAAGGAAAAGGCGGCTCTGGTTAAAGTATGAGCAAAAGATAAATCCCGATCTCCAGCCAAAAAGACAAAAAAGAAAAAAAAAAAAACAAAGCTTTGAAGCTTGTTGTATCGGATAGGAGACGGAGAAGAAGAGTAAATAACAGCAGGTACGGGAATTTTCCCGACGATATTCTCTTTTCTTCTTTACATTGTTAGATCTGGTTTTCATGTTTCAAACAGTAAAACAAATTCTGCCGTGGACTCTGTTTGTTTTCACGGAAAATTTTGTCATATTTTCAATCTTCTGCAGAAATTAGTGCTTTCTCGCTCAAAAGAATCTGTTTTATCTCAATTTTAACAATACCCTTTAATCTATTCGGTCGGTTTGTTATCCCTAAATGCTTCCTTTTACGCTTTACTTTCCATTTCTTTCTGGGTATATTTCTCTTCTCTTGACAGGTTCTAGTTTGATTTCTCTTTACTTAAACCCTCAAATTTTTTATTGTATGTTATTATCAATTTGGATTATGGTTTTGTGGAATGAGAAAAAAAAAAAAAAAATTGAAGAGCTTTAAACTGTTTTTCTTGTGATAACAGAGACAAGTTTAAAGGCGAATGTCATCTTCTTCCGTAATTACCCCAGAAGATGTATTGGAATCTCTCATGAATGATGGCACTATCGATGCTCTCAGATTGAAGATCATCAATCAGCTGAAAACCAATGTTTGTCTCTGTCTTTATTGTATTTTGTGTTTCATTTATGCATATATATTGATGAATGATTGTTACAGTTATTAGTATCAATGGAAATCCTAGATTTTTGGGCATTTGATTTATCAGAGGCGAGTCATAGTAGGACGCATTTGTGCCATCACAGAGGGCCAAGCACATGTGCATCCTAGCGAGAACATAAAGCTATCTTTGGAACAAAATGAATAATTGCTATTTTATGGGGGTTATGTCGGAGATCACTGTCTTTAAATTGATCATTCCTTGGAAGTTTAATGAATGTATTCTTGTAGTTAACATTTGGAAATTGGGTGGTTGACATTATTTTGAGTCGAATTCAATTCGTGTTATGAATTGTTAATGAGCAAGATATCCTTCGCTGACTTAGTTTTTTTTTTTTTTGAAATAGAAGTATGAAGTTATATTGAAGTAAAGGCGCCAAGGGGGCACCGCCCCATTTGCAAAAAATTTACCGCTGAGTTAGTTAGAGCTGATGAAAAACTGAAACAGGCAAATAAGTGTTTTCATATGCAGGCCTTGTTGATGAGTTAGACACCCCTTATTAACAGCAATGGATAGTTTATGAGGACATAATACTCAATTGCTTGTATTTCTCTTTGATTACAGGAAGAGCTGAAGAACACAACAATTAAGATGGTGGAACAAAGTAAAGTTCTTAATACCCCCGGGGCAGAGAAACAGACAAAGAGGGAGTTGTTTGATGCGCTTCGCCAGGAACTTGAGTAAGTGTTGATCTTTGTTGTGGAATTCCTCTTTTTCTTGCATGCTTTTGAAGATGGGGAATTCATTTGTACGCTTAGGCAACTGCAGGCTATTAACAAGCTCCTGCTAGTTTTAACAATTAGGTGTAGGGATTGATGTCATTTTGCTCTATGACTGCATTAATCACCAAAGTGCCAAAATCTCTTTCCAGTCTAGCAAATTGATGACGAATGTTGTGTAGCTTGAGGAAAACTTCTTTGTTCAGCTCATGGTTCCTTTTCTAATGGCATATATCTTTATAACTATTTTTCTCAGTAAATATTCTATAATGTATATCTTTGTAACTATAGTTTTTTTATGTCTCATAATCTATGTTCTCATTATCATGAAAGAAAGAATTCTAAAAAAATCTAACTCTTTTTTGTACTTAAATGAGCAGAACTCCTGTGCTAGAGAAGGCGTCTAAATCAGTTTGGGAGTTGATACTGGACAACAACGGGCTGGGGAAGGAAATAAATGAAACAGTTGAAAGAGTATTTTGTCGACTGAGTGGCCGAGAAGCTCCCTTATTTCCTATCTCAAATGATGAAAACCAGCGCGATAAAGAAACCCATAATGAGAAAGGGAAAGAAAATGAAAATAAAAATAAGGAAAATTCAAATTCTGCATCAAAGAAGAGGAGTTTCAATGCAATGAATTTGGGAGAAGGGGCTGATGAAGTTGGAAACTTTTCTGGTGATCCTTCAGCATTATCTGAAGACTCTAGGAGATCGCGTTAGTGAAGCTTAAACATGAGTCACTTCCGACGCATTATGACTGGAACAAGTCTGGTGAATGTTTGGGTGAATTTTTGGCATTCAAGTTATGATTTATAAAACAAAACCGCAATGTTGACATATGGAATAGAGAAGTAGTTAATATGGTGAAATATCAGTTTATTAACATGTATTTGTATATACTGAGCTCATTGATTAACATCTGGTTTCAAATCCTTCTCTCAAATTTCCTCTTGGCCCCATTTTTGTTTTTTTTTTTAACCATCCTTGTATCTGGAAATAGGTACAAGTTGCAGTTTAGGCGACTGCTTGCATCCGTGTTGCTGATTCATCACAAGTATGATGAAAGTTTATATTATTTGATCTGAGACTGAAATTTGCGGTAATCCCTGTTCCTGACGTCCTCATATCTTTGAAAATTGTGATATGAAGTTGAGAAAAGAAGTTTGGTTTGCAAGAGGTGTTACGATCTTAGAGGCATTAATGACAATTACTTATTCAACACTGTATGTATTCTACATGATATGGAATTAGGTTTGGACTGTATGGATAAAGAGTTATCTTGATTTGGATGGCTGGTGAGGCTTTGATGAAAAGATATTGTTGTCCTAAATACATCTTGGGCTGTAGTTGGTGAATGTAGTATATTCTTTGTGCAATATTTTAACTTTAGAAGTTATAATGCATCATCAGTTTAAGAATACTTAGTTGATAAGTTAGCATTTGGAATTAGAGAAAAATAACTATGCTAGAAAGAAGACCCCCAAAATATAACAGCAGTCCTCTTGATATTCTTCTCTACTTCCTAGTAGCTGACTTTTCAGTCAACAAGGAAATTTATAGAAGAGAAAGAGTCTGCATCTATTTCCTATTATCTAAATCTGAAAGAAGGAAATATAAGTAAAGGATGATCCAATTACAGTTAGCTAACTTCATCCTTGTTAATTCCTAACTCTACCCTCTTCCCCTGGAATTCTCAGTGCCAGTTGTTGGCCCTATTGATTGTATCAGCATTTGGAAAACCCTCCATAATTCCGTCTGAAACAGTTGAGGGATAAAATGAATTGCTGTTAGTGGTCAGATGCATGTTCTGCACTGGAAGTTGAGGAGGCATCATGGAGGTAGGCTGAGGAACTGGAGGCATCATAAGGGGAGGCCGAGGGGCTTGAAGTGGCATTGCGGAGAGAGGAGGACGAGAAGTGAATTGCCTGGCAGCATAATGTAGAGGCATATTAGCATTCAGAACCAAACAACCTTGATTGATAACTATTTCTCGTCCATAGTTGTCGACCACTCTGTGGGTGGTATTATTAGAGTTTTCTCTCTCCCCAGATAGATTGACCAAGTTCTCTAACGAGTTTACTCTGTCAATGTAATAGTTTTGATCCATGTAAGGCACTTGCGTATCACTGAATAACTGCTGGTTGATGTCGGTTAAATCTTGGGCCATAGGATTAAGCCTCTCAGTTCCTTCGTTGTAGCCTGGTTGATGATGAGTTCGGTAATTGATTACAGGGTTCACTTGAGGAGCAAAATGAGCGATAACCTCTGGTTCTTTGACTTGATCTGCAAAGTTGTTCGCTTGTTGATTACTCCAAATTTGCATGGATTGATTTTTGAAAACTGGGTTTCTCCCGTGCTCATCTACACATGAAATATCCATGACTAAAAAGTGAAAAAAACAACGTCAGAACTCAGATACTAATTCTTCAAGTAATACAAGATTCTGTACCATCCAAACAAATTAAAAGTACCAGATATAGGTGAAGGTGTATCGTTAATTTGGAGAGATGGTGGAGGAACTTGCTCATATAATTGAACTGGTCGATGAGGAATCAAAGATGCAGGAATTTGTGGAAGAGAAAATTGGTACCCAGGATTGATTTGATTGATTTCTGGTATTTGTCCATGGAGATTTAAACCAAAATCTGTGATACCATACATATTGGTTTCAAAATAAGGAGACTGTAAACTAGGAAAAGGCATCTGGCTACGCTGGAGCAAATGGGGATCACACTGGAGAAGTTTCTCATAATGTCTGTCAAGTGCTCCTGGAGGAAATCTAAGATAGTGTCTCCTGATAAGTTGGAAGAAAATTTTCAATTAATTTCGCCGATAAAGTTGATCATGTTCCATAAATTACCCAGGTATCAACAAATTTAGCTGGTTAAAGTTATTTAGGTTAAATAAAGTTACTAACTTTACAATGGATTTGACACAATAAACTTTGATATAAAAAGAGAGAAGAGATTTGAGAATGATAGATACCTCCAAATGGGAGCCTGTCCTCCTGTAAAGTCTGATGTCATTCTCCATTGAGTGTGCTTTCTTGGCTGCGGATCAAGCTCATGGTAGAACGAGGGAGGCTGGCTTAACTGCACCATATTTTTTTCAAAAATACAATAAAAAATCCTAATTAACAGAAGTAAAAAAACTATTAATTACATAATTTTTTTATAAAAGAAAGAATAAAAATTGACCTCAATTTCAAGAATTCCAGGTTCATTCTCCTCCATGACAGCGCTTAATGTCAAAATATCAGCCCACTGTATCTCAATCTTGCTCTTCAAACCATTCTCCAGAAATTCCCACACCAACTTTCTCTTAGCATAGTAACACTTTGCCACCAAATCACCTTCATTTACAGTTATTCTCTGCAGAGATTTCCATATAATCAAGCACAAAAGGAAGAAACAAAAGAAGGAAAAAATTCTTGGGGATTAAAAGTTTTATACCTCCCACGAGCCAATTTTGAGCAATAAAGCAGGAAAATTTGAGGCCTTTAATTTCTCAGTTGCCTGCTGAGATATAAGATCATGATCAGCTTTCGATTTAGCAGATTGGGTAGGTTTGTGATTGGGCTTGAACTCTTCTTCATGGTATAATCTGGTTTCAATCAGGTCCATAAAGGAAGATGACTTGCGGAGTTTCAAGCCGAGGGGAGGTAAACTCATGAGGGTGTCAGCCATTTGAGCCTGCAAACACCACAAGAACATCGCACAGAAGTTGAAGAAGAAGAAGAAGAAGAAGAAGACAATGGTGAAATAAAAAATGCATGCATGTGAAAAAAAAAAAAAAGAAACTACGAAACTAAATTTGACTGGAATTGATTACATGAAACGAACAAACAAACAAACTCATCTAACCCCATGCGAACTGTAAGATAGGGATCAAAACCAGGTGGTGATATTTAACGAAAACCAGAAAGAAAGAGAGGTTTTACCATTGTGAAAATGTAGTTGGAGCTCTGAAAAAATAATAAAGCTTGAAACTTTATTAAAATTTTCAATTACTTAAACATAGACCACCACAACCTGAATCCCAGATTCAAAAAAAAAAAAAAAAAGGAGTGGGGAAAAAAAAAACAGAATAATACTAAAAATCACATGAAAAGCTAACGTAATACTCGATAAAAAGTTGTATAACCGTCACGAAAATCATTGTTAGGGAAAAAAAAGAAGAAAAAGGAAAAAAGAAAACAGAGAATAGAAAGCCAAAGCAATGTCAACTCATAGTCTCAGAAACCAACCAGAAAGATAACAGCAAAAAAAACTAAAAATGCTAAAAATAGATATACTGAAAATAACCCAATTGAAAAAAGTCATCGGGAATCTTTAAACGAAAAAAAAAAAGAAGAAAAAAACACAGACCGATTCCAACAGAGAAAAGAAATAGCCAGCAAACGAGGGAGAAAAAGAAAAAAACACCTTGTTATCAGCAAACTGTGAAGCGTTCTGAAACTGTACCAACTGATTCTGAAATTCATTAGATTCAGAATCTTGATTTTGAGCCTCATTGTTCGAGTACCCAACTCCTCGTTGCATGATTTTTCCTTCGCCTCACCCTGAAAATTCTCCAACAAAAGTATATGAATTTTAACAAGAAGCGGATTATTATGCTACGCAGATTGCTAGAATCTCGCACGTAGCTAATGACGATAATGTATACGAGTTAGAGTTTTGACACTAAGTTGAAGACGAACAAGGAGAAAGAAAGAAAGAAAGAAAGAAAGAAAGGAAACAGAGCAGAACAGAGCAGAACGGAGCAGAGAGAGAGAGAGGGAGAGAGACGGGTGTCAATAGGATTTTCATGAACAAAACCTAACATGGTACTTCACTTGCTTCCATATATATGAGAATTCCTCCTGACGTAACTGAGAGTGACGCCAAAATTTACGTGAGAGTCCTCGTTAATTTTATTTTTCAAATTAACAGAACTGCATGTATATATGTTTTAATATACATATTTAATTTAATTTATTCTTAAATATTGAATAAAATTATCTCCAAAAAAAATTTCAAAATTAATTATTGATATTTTATTAATATTTTATTGAGTCGCCAAATCTAACACCGAAGCTAACTGCAAAATCTACGCTTGACGTGGCAATTTTTAATTGGGAGCAGCCAAGTTTCAAGGCCCGGCGGCTACTAGCCGTCGTGCGCATTCCACGCGTGCGTGTGGGTCCCTCCATAATATCGTTTGATCAGCTCCCGATTGCGGGTCCCACTTCGGTCCACATGTAACAACGCCATTGGCGAATCGCTCATTTGTTATATTATAATTATTCGAAACATATAATTCAATTATCTCATTTTATAAATCACGTGGAATAATTGGCTAACTCATTTGTTACGCAAAATTTCAAAAGTGAGAGTTTAAAATTTCATGAGATTTTAATTATTATAGGTTTAATAACTAATTAAGTTTAATCTTTTTATATTCTAATGGATTAAGTCAATGTATATAAAAAATCGAAGCTAATTAAATCATGATGCAAAAAAAAAAATTGGTGTTAATGACGACGTGATTCTAATCGACAATTACATATCGTATTCG